AATCCGTAAACTTTCCCCACGTAAGCGTGTTTCTTCATAATTTCAAGTGCCTCGCCGTGTTCCATTTCCATGTCGCGTCTTATTTTGTCCATAAACTTCTTCACCTACGTTTGTTTACGATTTACGTCTACTTTTCAATATGCTTCAATGCAAATTATTTAACTGGACGGTCGAGAACTTACTGTATGAAGTTGATACCAACTTATATTGTACTTTGCAAAGGAGCCCAGGCTCATGAGCACGAACGAAACGTACTTCAGCATGAATTCCCTAGTTATGAAGACCAAACACTGGAAAACGGTGAATAAATTACAGAAATATTCACAGAAAGGCGTTTGATGAGTTATTTCCGTTCAGTGGGAGCAAACATAACATACAATGGCAACATACATAAAAAAGTTTATAAATGTTTATAAAAGATATTAACAAAATACGATTTAATTACCGTTTTTTTTTTGCTAATCTATTAACTGGACTATGCGTTATGAAAAATGTCTATGATTGTGGGATTGACAGAAATAAATCAATTTGTACCGAGTTGAAAAATTTAAATAAATAAAATGATATAATAAGGAGTATTCTTAGAAAAAAAAAAAAATTAAAAAAGAAAACACGACACGAAAGGGAACCGTTGTGCTTAGTTATATAAGGTTAAAATTTTCAAATCTCCATACGGATTTACGCTGTTTCCACATACGAGAAATATAACTCGAAACACTATATATTAAAAATTTCATTTTTCCAAATAAAAATTGTACAAATAACAGGCTTATCACAGTGTGGTCACTTGAATACACACTCGTCACTGTGTCCAATCGAAGGTAGTGTAAAAGTTAATAATACAATAAACGAAAATTAAATAATAATCATAGCACCTGAGCCATGATAAAAAGAAAAAAACTGAAGCTGATGAAGCTGTTTTTCAAAACGATGGATCTCGTGTTCTGATACGGCCAAAGTCCTATCATTGTTAAGAGAACCCTAGGGAAACTGTAATACGTCAGTGCTTCGACCATCGCGTACAACGGTTCAAGAAATACTGACTGCCCGCTCCTTCGATTTAATTTCCCTCTTTACCTCTCTCAGAAATTTTCCAACGAAATATCATTTCACAACAGAAATTCATAGAACCACCGGCAGAATGAACGAGGCAACCTGTAATTTCAGACTTAATTATTCATGTTCATTAGCGTTGGAAGTAAACGATCGATTTATTTTGTTTTACCGTTTGACTACAGAAAGAGGGCTATTAAGATAATTATAGTCTAGGGGCACTGAATAGTCTCAAAACAATTTCCTTCCCCTCATATTGTGGGGTGTGCGAGAAAAATATTTCCCAATCGCAGTCAGTCTGTTTTAGTTGCTCGAAATGCAAACAACTTCGGAGACATGGACGAAATCTGATGTCAAGGGAACACGAAAGAGTGGTTCTGTTTGCGAGATATTTTGTTACAAAGTGAGCGAGTGCTGCTTCTATCAAGCACATGTATTTAATTTTAGTTACTAATTAAAAGCGGAATACGAAAATCTACAAGACTGGATTAGATATGCACAGGGTGCCTCATTTTAACACATTCATGCAATTATCCCCGCATTTGTTGGTTGTTAGAAATGATGTTTGATATAAAATTTACCTTTTTCTTACGATAATCACCAGATTTGTCTAGATTTGTTTCCGAGATTTCAAAGTTACGTCCAATAATTTTTAAATGGAGTCATATATTTTTCTATGCATTAATCGACGTTCTCTGTAAAAAAGTGCTAACCTAGGTTGATTGATTATTAATTTAAAAAACATTTTAACTCATCCGTGTTATATGAATACATGAACGAGTGCGATAATTGTGTCTATTTTGTGACGACGTATCGTAAAATGCAGGTGACATGTAACGTGAGTATTTTTGCAATATCTAATGTATTGTTATTATGAAACATGCATTTACATATACGTATATTTTAAAGGCAAAATGTGTTCCAAAAGTCAGATTCGGCGTACAAAATGTTGTGCTCAGTGCGTATCGGTATCTTAGGTACGAAAACTGAACGTACTACTGTTTATGAAATACGCGACTGAATGAATTGAAAGAATGTAACGCAAAACGGCAAGAGAATCCGCACCGTCACGAACATAAATAACTCTCGATTAAGGTAATCGTAATTATTAAACAATCAAATGACGTCGATTCAACATCGAATGACAAACAAACATCAATTCAAATAACAATCGATGATACAAAAGGTAATCAAAATAAGATTAACATCGATATCAATATCTTAAATATTTGTTGCAAAATTTTGTTACTGTAACGGAGAGGTACCTCCTACCGTGTGTTTGGATAGACAATTAGGCGAACACTCAATTGAATAAATTGACATTTTGGTTATTCATATAGACGTGTAAACGCCCTCGACGGAATTTAATATGTCTTGAAATGCGTAATTTTCGAAAACAATGAAAAACAACTCACACAATAAAAGTGCCAGAGACATTGTTGTGCTCAGTGCGTGCTCGATGTTGTTGATCACAAATATCGAGAGAAATAACTGGAGGAAACAAATTTCATTGAACTACTCGATTATTTTTCGAATGTGATCTCTTGTCTGTTTGGAATTAAGTTTTCTCCTTTTATTCAAGGTTTCACTGTGAAGACAGATTACTCACAGAGAATAAATTCATACTAAAGGATAAAATACCGAAGACGATGATTGCAGTATATATTGTTTATATACTGTCTCTAATAGCGAAAATTCGCGAATTTAATGTCGCGAAAATTAAGAAAAAGGACATTGTATAAATAAAGGAAATACATGATAGATATACCAATTACATGCATATAAGAGGGTTAAAATTTTTTCTGCATGTTAAAATCATTGTAAAATTTTCACGTATATATACGTGTTTTCAACTGTTTTTCTTTCTAATTTCTGATTTCTTCGAATTTCTTTTACGTGTATTATGCGATCGCATCACATAATTACATAAAATTGGGGTAACAACATTTTATGGATATAATACGTGCATATTATTTACATGAAACATTCTTTCATTAACATTGCAGTGACAGACGATTGTCATAATTACATTGGTCAAGTTCAAAAGAAATTTAAAAAATATATGCATAAATTACAAGGACACACATATTTCGAACAGATCACAAAAATATTTAAACAGTGATCTACTACACATATATATACAAGTTTTTTCATCTTTAATAATCGTAATATGCTTCGGATAACTTTTTTACTAAATATATTACATCAACAAATATCTGTAACTTTTACAAACATTTTTACATTGGTTTCAAACTTTGTTGATGTAATTATCTTAATTGTCCTTTGTTACAGTTTTAATGAAGTTTCGATGTAATTGAAAATTCTTTCTCACAGTAAGCATTAGAATATCTTTAAAAGCCACACATGTATATAATAAGGAACATAACAAGTTTCCTTACCAAACAATTTCAACCAAACTAGTAGTGTGCTGTATCAACATGGCAGACAAGGATTCAGTAGCTATAATTATAGCAGCCGTTATAAAGTATACGATTTTCTGACATATCATCATCGGAGACAAGTACTTCTGTTCAGAGAATTTTCTGACATATCATCATCAGAGGCAAGTCCAGCTGTAGTAAATAATCATGGGATCGAGAGGTGTTCAGTCGTAAGAAAACGTCGACGAATTCGGGAAGAAGGCAAGCCACCATCGCCAAAGATTTTCCGTACGACATTTTCTAGCTAGCTGTAGCGTAATAACAGGGGTGATTAGCCAATTACAGCAATTTCATAGCCAATTGTCGTGGCAAGGAATGATACTCAGTTTACGGGATGTGTAAAGTCTAGAGAAACAATTTAATTTCAAGAAACAAGTAAAATCTTCTCCCTTGCAGTTCCTCCGTTGCTTCGTAAATCGTTTATTATTCATAGACGATTATTGGTGTATCGTACGTTTGTGTCTGTAGAGTCGCACAAAGGCATCAGGCATTATTCGCTTGGCTTTAAAAGGGTGGTTCAAGAATACAACCATTATAGAGATATTAATAAGAGTCTCTATTAAATACAATTTCATTATTACACGGTGGTGGAAATCGTTTGCATTAACAGCCTGTAACTTGGAATGAAAGTCTCTACGTATACTTCTGCATGTAAAATTAAACTATTTTATTGAGTACCATTTAACTGAATTAGAGGCTGCGTTATCATCGATCAGAGTATTACTCCTGCATGGAAGATATAATCATAAAATACGACACTGAGGTTTTCACCAGCTGAAATAATTTTCATAGCTTATTACTGTGTCTACGTCAACAACGAGATATTAATTAATATTAATTACAAACGAATGTACCGATGAAAAGCCTTCTACCGTGCCGGTGTAACAACTGTAAACGTTGAACGAGAATGTCTTGCTGGTTCTCAACATCATATTCAACAATAATTTCTGCGTTGCTACAGTAGTATCGTACCAGTTGTCGTGGAAACTGAAATCATTGGTAAAAATTTCTTTTGGCACACATTCCGAGTACCGCTCACTGATCGAGTGCTTACATTGTCATGGAAAAGTTGGTATAGTAATCGTACGCTTGCTCGATAATGGAATTCATGTAATACATGTATATTAATTCGGAAACGACAAATAAGGTACTGACAATCGCTTCATCGCATTCGGATGTAAACAATTCGGACAGCGATGCGGAAAGCTGAAAAATGAATAAAATCCTGAATTTTGGCGTTTCGACAAATGATTACGAAGGCTAGTTTGGAAACACAGGTGTAGTTCCCACGACCACGAAAAATAACCGGAAATTTCAAGTTTAATATATACATGAGTATACTTACGCGGAACAAATTAATCGCTAGAGCAGAGATAGCCAACAGAAGGAGAACAGCATATGGGAACGCGCAGATATCCTGTATCTCTTTGATAAATCTACGAGAACAAATGATAACTGAATTGAATGACCTTGTAAAGAACGATATATGTGAGTAGTAGAACTGACTCTAGCCCTCTCCTATGAGCGATTACGGCTTTTGCTATATCTCTTCTTGTTCTGTCATCGCACTGGTATTTCAAATTACTGATAATAGTTCTTCTCACGTAGTAGCTGAAAATTCCGGCATTATGTATAAACATTTTCGTAACAATAATATAAATATACTTGTGCATAATTTCACAGAACAAATTATTTCATAATTTCGACAGAAAGATAAAGATTGGTTAGAGTTGTCAAAAATGACATTTCGTTCACAGCATATGCATTCATGTATATCGCTTTTAATTAAAGAACAAATGAGATGAAAAATTAAATTGATTTTGAATTGTATCATTTTTCTTACTGGATATAATAATTTTGATGAATAATACATATATAATATATATATATATATAATTTCAAATATTATATTTATATTTCAAATAGTTCCAGCCCAGATCCTAGTAAATTCGCTTTCTGAATCAGTTTCTCTAGATAGTAAAAAATTGCTTCCCTTAAGAAAGAGGAGACACAATATTTTTAAAAATTTCGAATCTGGTAGATTTTAAAAAATAGTTTAACAACACGTGCCTTAAAACACTTGTCACCTGAAACACACGAACGATGCATCGAACAAACATTCGCTCTATGTTATACCTGGTAATCTCGCTCAAACCGATAGCATGTTTCAGCCACATGATAGTTAAGGTTTCCGTTCCCGCGAAGATAGTTCCGCAAATTAGCATCGAAAAGTTCATATGTAGAAACGTGAGTAAAATACATTTCTCTTCAAGTATCAGGTATTCCGCAGTTATGGGAAATCTTCTCAGACGAGTTTCGTTTGTTGGCACAATTCTCTCATAAACAAAGATCGACGAATAATAGAGCACAATGGTTACTGATGCGAAATAAAAAACCGCTGTAACACGTGTACGTGAAATTAGAAAGATCAAACTGCGTCAATTCGTACGTGTACTGTATTTCCAAAGACGTCGCTCACATCCGAATCGTAACCCGTAGACTTTCCCCATGTAAGCGTGTTTCTTCATAATTTCAAGTGCCTCGCCGTGTTCCATTTCCATGTCGCGTTTTATTTTGTCCATAAACTTCTTCGCCTACGTTTGTTTACGATTTATGTCTACTTTGCAAAATTCTTGCAAACAAATCGTTACTTAAATGGACGATCGAGTACTTACTATATGAAGTTGATACCAATTTATATTGTACCTTGCAAAGGAGCACAAGCTTATGAGTACGCACGAAACATACTTCAGCATGAATTCCCTAGTTATGAAGACCAAACACTGGAAAAGGTAATAAATTATGGAAATATTCACAGAAAGGCATTTGATGAATATTCTCGTTCAATGGTAGCATACATGAGTAAAGTTTCTGAATGTTTATAGTTTCTAAAAGAATTCGATTTAATTTAATTTAATTAATATTTTCGTACTGGACGTTATCTAAGATTTCTATGATTACGGGATTGATAGAAATAAATCAACTTCGACCAAGTTGAAAAATGTTAATAAATATGATAGAGCATATAATAATGAATGATAAATATATCTAATGGATGTATTAATGGTATAATAAAAAATATTTTTTATAAAAAGTTGAAATTAAAAACGAAAACAGGAGACGAAAGGGGATCTTAGTTAATCAGGTGAAGATTTTGAAATCACCATGCGGTTTAGGGTGTGTTTCCACGTACGAAAAATATACCTCAAATTTTGATAAATTTTTTTAAAATTAAAATAGGTATAAATAACTCGCTTATGACAATGCGGTCTTGAATGCACGCTTGTTCCACACACTGTATCCAGTCGAAGGAAGTGTGAAAGCTAATAATACAATAAACGAAAATTAAATAATAATCACAGCACCTGAGCAACGATAAAAAGAAAAAAACTCAAGCTGATGAAGCTGTTTTTCAAATCGATGAATCTCGTGTTCTGATACGGCCAAAGTCCTATCATTGTTAAGAGAACCCTAGGGAAACTGTAATACGTCAGTGCTTCGACCATCGCGTACAACGGTTCAAGAAATACTGATCGCCCGTTTCTTCGATTTAATTTCCCTCTTTACCTCCCTTAGCGATTTTCCAATGGAATATTGCAACAGAAGTTCATAGAATCACCGGCGGAATGAATAACACGACTTGCAATTTCAGAATTAATTATTCATGTTCATTAGCGTTGGAAGTAAGCGATCGATTTATTTTGTTCTACCGTTTGACTACAGAAAGAGGGCTATTAAGATAATTATAGTCTAGGGGTACTGAATAGTCTCGAGACAATTTCCTTTCCCTCACATTGTGGGGTGTGCGAGAAAAATATTTCCCAATCGCAGTCAGTCTGTTTTATTTGCTCGAAATGCAAACAGCTTAGTTGAGAATGGTTCGGAGACATGGACGAAATTTGATGTCAAGGGAACACGAAAGAGTGGTTCTGTTCGCGAGATATTTTGTTACAAATTGAGCGAGTGCTGCTTCTATCAAGCACATGTATTCAATATATTCAATTTTAGTTACTAATTAAAAGCGGAACACGAAAATCTACAAGACTGGGTTAGATATACACAGAGTGTCTCAGTTTAATTCATCCATGCAATTATTCTTTCATTTATTGGTTATTCGAAAGAATATTTGACATAGAATTAGTCTGTTCTTACGATATACACCAGATTTGTATAAATTTGTTTCCGAGATTTCAAAGTTACGTCCAATTTTTTTTTAAATGGAGTCATACATTGTTCTATGCATTAATCGACATTTTCTGTAAAGTGCTAACCAAGGTTGAATGATTATTATTAATTTGGAAAGCATTTTAACTCATCCGTGTTATATAAATACATGAATTACGTGCGCGATAATTGTGACTGATTTGTGGCGACGTATCGTAAAATGCAGGTGACATGTGACGTGAGTATTTTTGCAACATTTAATATATTGTTATTACGAAACATACATTTGCGTATATGTACATATATTTCAAACGCAAAATGTGTCGCAAATGTCAGATTCGGTGTACAAAATGTCGTGCTTAGTGCATATCGATATTTTGTTACGGAAATTGAACGCAGAAATATTGTTTAAGATATGAATAACTACTCGATTTCTCGTGTGTCTGAAATTAAGTTTTAACTTTTCACACAAGGCTTCACTGAGGAGATAGATCACTTACACACAATAAATTCATACTAAACGATGATCACACCGAAGACGAGGACTGCAGAATATATTAGCATATATATTGTCTCAAATAAATTCGCGAAATTTCAAAAAATTGGACACTGTGTCAGTAAAGGAAGAAATATTCTTTCATTAACAGTGCAATGAGAGACGATTAACATAATTACACTGGTCAAGTGTAAAAGAAATTTAAAAAAATATATGCATAAATTACAAGGACATACACATTTCGCAGAAATCATAAAAATATTTAAACAGAGATCTACTACACACACGCACACATACACACACACAACATGTATCATTTTCTTTATTTTTAACAGTCGTGATATACTTGAGATAACGTCTTTACTAAATATATGTTTTCAACATATATCTCGTAACTTCTACAAACATTTTTACATCAGTTTCAAATTTTGATGGTGCAATAATCATAGTTGTCCTTTGTCATAGTGTTAATGAAACATTTCAAAGTATTCTATAATTCTTTTCACGGTAAACATTAGAATATTTTTAAACGCCACACATGCATATAATAACGAACACATCAAGTTTCCTTACCTGACAATTTCAAAAATACTAGTAGTCTGTTGTATCAATATGGTATACAACCATTTAGCTGTAATTATGACAGCTTAGAAAGTATACGATTTCCTGACATATCGCCATCAGAGACAAGTATTTCTAAGTTTGTCTAATATCCTGTATTAATGATTTAATGAAGGCAAAGCACTACCATCATTAAAATGCCAGAAGAAATATCATTGTTGTAATTACAATTTCTACAATAACATTCGTCAAACATTTCCTGTCCTAATGTAGCTAGCTATAGCATAATAACGGGGGCGGTTAGCCAATTACGGCAATTTCGACGATTAGTAGGAAAATGAGATCAAATAATCTGATTCATCAAATGGTTATTTCTCTTGAAATAAAATTAAAATTCACAAAATCTTCAGATTTTTCGAAATTAGCAGCATGCAACTTGAAATAAAAGTTACAACACGTTTTTCTGCATAGAAATTGAACTATTTTATTGAGTACTGTTTAACTGAATATCTTTCTCTTAGACGCTGCATTATGATCAATCTGAGTATTACTGCTGCATGGATGATATCATCATAAAATATGACACTGAGGTTTTCACTAGCTGAAAGGTAAATAATAGTTCAGAGGTTACCACTATGTCAACTAAGAGATATTAATTAATATCAATTAAAAACGAATATACCAATGAAAAATCTTCTACCGTGCCGGTGTAACAACTGTAAACGTTGAACGAAAATGTCTTGTTGGTTCTCAACATCATGTTTAACAATAACTTTTGGGTTGTTACAGTAGTATCGTACCAGTTGTCGTGGAAACTGAAATCAATGGTAAAATTTCGTCTGGCATACTTTCAGATTACCGCACAGTGATCGAACGCTTACATGCCCATGGAAAAGTTGTTATAGTAATCGTACGCTTGTTCGCACAAGTAATTCAAGTAATACATATACGTTAATTCGCCACCGATAAATATGATACAGGCACCTACATCTTCCCATTCGGAAAAAAATTCGGAGAGCGACGCAGACAGCTGGAAAATGAATAAAATCTTGGTTTCGACAAATGACTACAAAGTCCAGATTGCAAACACATACATAGCTTCAAGGATCACGAAAATTGAACGGAAAATTCAAGTTCAATTTATACACGAGTATACTTACGCGAAACAAATTAATTGCTAAAGAACTGACAGCAAACAGAAGGAGGACAGCGTATGTGAATGCGTTGTTGTCCTGCATTTCCTTGATATATCTACGAGAACAAATGATGATTGAATTGAATTGACGACATTGTAAAGAACGATATATGTGAGTACGAAGCAGTACTGACTCTAGCCCTCTCCTATGAGCGATTACGGCTTTTGCTATATCACTTCTTGTTTTGTCATCGCACTGGTATTTCGAATTTCTGAAAATAGTTTTCTTCACGTAGAAGCTGAAAATTCCAGCATTATGCATAAACTTTTTCGTCACAAAAGTATAAACACACCCGTACATAATTTCGTAGAACAAATTATTTCATAATTTCAATAAAAAAATAAATTAATTAGAGGTGTCGGAAATGACATTTTGTGCGTAGCATATGCATATGCATTCATGCATATCGCTTATCATTAGAAAACAGATGAGATAAAAATCTATATCGATTTTGAATTGTATCATCTTTCTTACTGGGCATTATAACTTTGTTGACTAATATAATTTCAAGTATTATATTTATATTTCAAATTGTTTCCAATAAGTATCTGAATCAGTTTCTCTAGATAGTGAAAAATTGCATCCCTTAAGAAAGCGATGACACAATATTTTTAAAATTTCATATCAAATAAATTTTAAAAGATAGTTTAATAAAACACGTGTTCTAAAACACTTGTTACCAATAAAACATTAATTTATTATCAATAAAACACAAATGTGCACTGTCACCTGAAACACAAATGCACAAACGGTGCATCGAACAATCATTCACTATTTGTTATACCTGGTAACTTCGCTTAAACCGACAGCATGTTTCAGACACAGGACCGCGAGCGTTTCCGTTCCCGCGAAGATAGTTACGAAAATTATCATTGAAAAGTTCATATGTACAAACGTGAGTAAAATACATTTCTCTTCAAGTATCAGGTATTCCGTATGTATGGGAAATCTCGTCAGACGAGTTTCGTTCGCCGGCACAATTCTCTCATAAACAAAGATTGTCGTGTAGTAGAATACACCGATTACTAATGGGAGATAAAACACCACTGTAACACACGTACGTGAAATTAAGAAGCTCGAACTATGTTAGTGTTTTTTTCAAAGATGTCGCTCACATCCGTATCGTAACCCGTAGACTTTCCCCATGTAAGCGTGTTTCTTCATAATTTCAAGGGCCTCGCCGTGTTCCATTTCCATGTCGCGTTTTATTTTGTCCATAAATTTTTTCGCCTACGTTTGTTTACGATTTATGTCTACTTTGCAAAATTCTTGCAAACAAATCGTTACTTAAATCGACGATCGAGTACTTACTGTATGAAGTTGATACCAATTTATATTGTATTTTGCAAAGCAGCCCAAGCTCATGAGCACGAACGATAGGTACTTCAGCATGAATTCCTTAGTTACGAAGACCAAACACTGGAAAACGTAATAAATTACGTAAGGATTCACAGAGAGGCATTTGATGAATATTCCTGTATGTTTGGAAGCAAACATAATTTACAATGGCAACACATGTAAATAAGTTTTTAAAAAAATACGATTTAACTTAATTTAAGTAATGTTTCTTTTTTTTTACTAATATATTAACTGGACTATGAGATATGAAGAATTTCTACAATTATGGGATTGATAGAAATTTTAATAAATATAATAATATAATAAATAATATTTTTAGAGCAAAAAGAAAACGACTTGAAAGTGGGTCTTAGTTAATAAGGTTAAGATTTGCAAATCTCCATGAAGATTGAGGCTCTTTTCACATACGAGAAAAATAACTCAAAATTTTAATTATTAACATCTGTTTTTTCAATTAAAAATTGTATAAACAACACGATTATCACAATGCAGTCATATGTATACACGCTCGTTGCTGTGTTTAATCGAAAAATGTGTACGAACCACATAATACAATAAACAAAAATTAACTAATAATAATAGCACCTGAGCCACGATAAAAAGAAAAAGATTGAAGCTGATGAAGCTGTTTTTCAAAGCGGTGAATCTCGTGTTCTGATACGGCCAAAGTCCTATCATTGTTAAGAGAATCTTAGGGAAACTGTAATACGACAGTGCTTCGACCATCGTGTACAATGGTTCAAGAACTACTGATTACCCGTTTCTTCGATTTAATTTTCCTCTTTACCTCTCTTAGAAATTTTCCAACGAAATATTACAACAGAAATTCGTAGAACCTCCGGCAGAACGAATGACGCGACCAGCAATTTCAGAATTATTTATTCATGTTCATGAGCGTCGGAAGTAAACGATCGATTTATTTTCTTCTACCCTTTGACTATAGAAATAGAGCTATTAAGAAAATTATAGTCTAGGGATACTGAATAGTCTTCTCTCGAGACAATTTCCCTTCTCTTATATTTATTAGTTTTACCTGTATGAGGTGGAGGAGAAAAATATTTCCCAATCGCAGTCAGTCTGTTTTATTTGCTCGAGATGGAAAGAACATAGTTGAAAGTGGTTCGGAGACTAGTGTGAAATTTGATGTCAAGGGAACACGAAAGAGTGATTCTGGTCGCGACATATTTTGTTACAAATTAAGCGAGTGCTACTTGTATCGAGCATATGTATTTAACATATTCAATTTTAGTTACTAATTAAAAGCGGAACACGAAAACCTACAAGACTGGATTAGATATACACAGGTCGTCTCATTTTAATTCATTTTAACTCATCCATGAAATTGATCTCGCATTTATTGATTATTAGAAATGATGTACAATATAAAATTTACCTTGTTCCTACGATAACTACCAGATTTGTCTAAATTTTCTTCCGAGGTTTCAAGATTATTTCCAATATTTTTTAAATGGAATCATGTATTTTTCTGTGCATCAGTTGACATACTCTGTTAAAAAGTACTAACCTCTGTCGAGAGATTATTAATTTAAAAAGCATTTTAAATCATCCGTGTTATATGAATACATGAACGTGTGCGATAATTGTGTCTATTTTATTTTGTGATGACGTATCGTAAAATGCAGGTGACACGTGACGTGAGTATTTTTGCAATATTTAATGTATTGTTATTATGAAACATGCATTTACATATACGTATATTTTAAAGGCAAAATGTGTTCCAAAAGTCAGATTCGGCGTACAAAATGTTGTGCTTTGTGCGTATCGATATCTTAGGTACGAAAATTGAACTTGTACTATTGTTTATGAAATACGCGATTGAAAGAATTGAAAAAATGTAACGCAAAATGGCAAGAGAATACGCACCGTCACGAACATAAATAACTCCCGATTGAGAACAGTAATTATTAAGCAATCATGACGTCGATTCAACATCGAATGACAAACAAACAACAAACGATGATACAAAAGGTATTCAAAACAAGATTAATATTGACATCATTATCTTAAATATTTTGTTACTGTAATGGAGAGGTATCGTGTGTTTGGACAGACAATTAGGCGAAAACTCAATTGAATAAATTGACATTGTGGTTACTCACATAGTCGTGTAAATGCCTTCGACAGAATTTAATGTGTCCTGAAATGCGAAATTTACGAAAACAATGAAAAACAACTTACACAATAAAAATGCAGGAGACAGTATCTGCTCGATGTTTTCATTCACGAGTATCGACTTCGAAAACTGTAGGAAACGAATTTTATTGAACTGCTGGATTATTCTCACCATCATTAACGTCAGTAGAAACATTATTACTCTAATAACATTTTCTACAATAACATTCGTTATAGATTTTGTACGATATTTTCTGTTCTAATCTAGCTGGCTATAGCATAATAAAGGGGGCGGTTAGACAATTACGGTAATTTCATTACGGTAATTGTCGTTGCAAAGGGTGAGCCTCAGTCTACGGAATGTATACGTAAATTGTAGGGGAACAACTCAATTTCAAGAGAAAAGTAAAATCTCCTCCCTCGCAGTTGTTTCCTCGTTTCCCCTTTGTAAATTGTTTATTATTGATGGACGATTATTGGCGTATAGGTACATAAGTTTGTGACCATAGAGTCGCACAAAGGCACCAGGTATTATTCGCTTCGTTTTAAGAGGGTGGTTCAAGAATACTGCCATTATAGAGTTATTAATAAGAGCCTCTATTAAATACGATTTCATTACTACATGATGGAAAACGTTTGGTGTTTAGTTTGGGTTAAGTTTCGGTTAGGTATAGGAACAGCCTGTAACTTGGTATGAAAGCCTCTACGTATTTCTCTGCGTAGAAATTAAACTATTTTATTGAGTACTATTTAAATTGAATATCTTTCTCTCAGACACTGCATATCATCGATCAAAGTATTGCTACTGCATGGAAGATATCATCATGAAATACGACACTGAGGTTTTCACTAGCTGAAAGGTAAATAATTGTTCAGAGGTTACCACTATGTCAACTAAGAGATATTAATTAATATCAATTAAAGACGAATATACCGACGAAAAGCCTTCTACCGTGCCGGTGTAACAATTGTAAACGTTGAACGAGAATGTCTTGTTGGTTCTCAACATCATGTACAACAACAATTTTTGGGTTGCAATAGTAGTTTCGTACCAGTTGTCGTGGAAACTGAAATCATTGGTAAAATTTCGTCTGGCACACTTTCAGAGTACCGCTCATTGATCGAATGCTTACATTGTCATGGAAAAGTTGGTATAGTAATCGTACGCTTGCTCGCACAAGTAATTCAAGTAAAACATGTACACTAATTCGCCAATGATAAATAAAATACTGGCAATTGCTTCTTCGCATTCGGATGAAAATAATGCGGATTGCGATACGGACAGCTGGAAAATGAATAAAATCTTTGATCCTGGCGTTGCCACTTTCGACAAATGACTGCGAACGTCATTGGTAACAAAGGTGCAGTTTGAGGCGCCACGAGAAATAAAAGGAAATTTCACAGTCCAATATATCTACGAATATACTTACGCGAAAAAAATTAATTGCTAGAGAAGTGATAGCAAACAGAAGGAGGACAGCATATGCGAATGCGTTGTTGTCCTGTACCTCCGTGATATATCTACGAGAACAAATGATGACTGAATTGAATGACGACCTTGTAAAAGAACGATATATGTGAGTATACGAAGTAGTACTGACTCTAGACCTCTTTTATGGGCGATTACAGCTTTTGTTATATCACTTCTTGTTCTGTCATCGCACTGGTATTTCAAATTTCTGAAAATAGTTTTCCTCACGTAGTAGCTGAAAATTCCAGCATTATGTATAAACTTTTTCGTAGCAAAAGTATAAATATACTCGTGCATAATTTCATAGAACAGGTTATTCCATAATTTCGACAAAAAGATAAATTTATCTGAGCTGTCGCAAAAACGACAGTTTGTACATAGCATGTGTAGTCATGCTAATCTCGAACTTAAATTTTGAATTGTATTATCTTTCTTACTCGGTATTATAATATTGTCGAATAATAAAATTTCAATTAATACATTTATATTTCAAATAGTTTGAACCCAGATTCCAGTGAAGGGATCACTCACTGTCTGAATCAATTTCTCTTGACAGTAAGAAAATGCTTCCCTTAAAAAAAGCAGCGACACAATATTTTTAAAATTTCATATGAAATAAATTTTTAAAAAAATAGTTTAATAACACGTGTGTTAAAACGCTTGTCACCACTGATAAAACACTGATTTATTATCATATCAATAAAACACAATTAATGTGCACTGTAATCAGTGTGCACCTGAAACACACAAACGGTGCATCGAACAATCATTCACTATTTGTTATACCTGGTAACCTCGCTCAAACCTATAGCATGTTTGAGCCACAGGATAGTTAACATTTCCGTTCCCGCGAAGATAGTTGCGCAAATTATCATCGAAAAGTTCATATGTAGAAACGTGAGTAAACGACATTTCTCTTCAAGTATCAGGTATTCCGTAGTTATGGGAAATCTCCTCAGACGAGTTTCGTTCGTAGGCACAATTCTCTCATAAATAAAGATTGACGAGTAATAGAATACAATGATTACTAATGCGAAATAAAAAATCGCTGTAACACGTATACGTAAAATTAGAAAGATCAAACTGCCTCAATTCGTACGTGTACTGTATTTCCAAAGATGTCGCTCACATCCGAATCGTAACCCGTAGACTTTCCCCATGTAAGCGTGTTTCTTCATAATTTCAAGTGCCTTGCCGTGTTCCATTTCCATGTCGCGTTTTATTTTGTCCATAAACTTCTTCGCCTACGTTTATTTACGATTTATGTCTACCTTGCAAAATGCTTGCAAACAAATCGTTACTTAAATGGACGATCGAGTACTTACTGTATGAAGTTGATACCAATTTATGTTGTACCTTGCAAAGGAGCCCAAGCTCATGAGCACGCACGAAACGTACTTCAGCATGAATTCCCTAGTTTTGAAGACCAAACACTGGAAAGCGTAATGAATTACGGAAATATTCACGCAATGACATTTGTCGAATATTTCCGTTCAATCGCAGCAAACATAATATACAATGGCAATAAATATAAATAAGTTTTTAAAAAAATACAATTTAATTTAATTTAAGTACTGTTTCTTTTTTTACCAATCTATTAACTAGACTATTCGTTATGAAAAATTTCTATGATTATGGGATTGATAGAAATTTTAATAATATAATAAATAATATTTAATATAATAATATAATATAATAGTATAATAACTAATATTTTTAGAACAAAAAGAAAACACGACACGAAAATAGATCTTAGTTAATAACGTTAAGATTTCCAAATCTCCATGAGGATTTAGGTTATTTCCACATACGAAAAATATAACCCAAAATTCAATAAATTAAAAATTTTTTTTTTCAACTAAAGATGGTGTAAATAACAGGCTTAATCACAGTGCGGTCACTCGAATACACACTCGTCACTGTGTCCAATTGAAAGAACTGTGAAAGCTAATAAACAAAATATACAATAAACAAAAATTAAATAATAATCATAGCACCTGAGCCACGATAAAAAGAAAAAAACTCAAGCTGATTAAGCTGTTTTTCAAAGCGATGAATCTCGTGTTCTGATACGGCCAAAGTCCTATCATTGTTAAGAGAACCTTAGGGGCACTGTAATACGTCAGTGCTTCGACCATCGCGTACAGTGGTTTAAGAACTACTGATTGCCCGCTCCTTCGATTTAATTTCCCTCTTTACCTCTCTCAGAAATTTTCCAACGAAATATTACAACAGAAATTCATAGAACCACCGGCCGAATGACCTGTAATTACATAATTATTTATTCATGTTCATCAGTGTAGGAAGTAAACGATCGACTGATTCTTTTCCACAGAATTATTGACTATAGAAATAGGGCTATTAAGAAAATTATAGTCTAAGGGTACTGAATAGTCTTCCCTCGCGACAATTTCCTTTCTCTTACATTTATTCGTTTTGCCTGTGTGGGGTGTGCGAGAAAAATATTTCGCAATCGCAGTCAGTCTGTTTTATTTGCTCGAGATGGATAGAACTTAGTTGAGAATGATTCGGAGACTAGTATGAAATTTGATGTCAAAGGAATACGAAAGAGCGATTCTGTTCGCGAGATATTTTGTTACAAATTAAGCGAGTCAAGCACATGTATTCAACATATTCAATTTTTCTAATTAAAAGCGGAACACGAAAATCTACAAGACTGGATTAGATATACACAGGGTGTCTCATTTTGACTCATTTTAACTCATTCATGCAATTATTCCCGCATTTGTTGGTTGTTAAAAGTGATGTTTGATGTAAAATTTACCTTTTTCTTACGATAATCACCAGATTTGTCTAGATTTGTTTTTGACACTTCAGGATCATATCCACTTTTTTACAAAATGGAATCATATATTTTGCATTAAACCACGTTCTCTATAAAGAAGTATATTGAACCTATATTGAACCTATATTGAAAACCTATATTGAAAAATTATTAATTTAAAAGACATTATTAAGACGTGTTATATGAATAGGTGAATTACGTGCGCGATAACTGATTATTTTGTGGCGACGTATCGTAAAATGCAGGTGACACGTGACGTGAGTATTTTTGCAATATTTAATATATTGTTATTACGAAACATACCTTTACGTATATATTTTACGCAAAATGGGTCCTGAAATTCAGATTCGGTGTACAAAATGTGCTTAGTGCGTACCGATGTGTTTGGTACGGTTATTGACCGTAGAGATATTGTTTAAGAAATAAACGATTGAAAGAATTGAAGGCAAGAGAATTTGCACTTTCACGAAATAAATACCTTTTGAGTAAGTTTATTTATTAAACAGTCAAATGACATCGATTAAACATTGAATGACAGTCAAACATCAATTCAAATAACAATCGTCGACGATTCAAATAGCAACCGATTCGAAAGTGCACGACAACAAAGGGAACCTTACAACAGAGATCAGCTTATTTTTATTACAGCTTTGTGCGTTGGATAGAATTTATCATCATGAAATAGGATATCGATGAGTTTATCAGCTGGAAAGTTCAAGCAGCATGATTAAAAACATAGTTGATTTAACTGTACTGAACGATACAAGTAAGTACCCATGAAATGCCTCTGACTGATGGAGAAAATACTATCAACAAAGTGAACTTGCAGGCTCGATTTGACATATTGTTTAACAGAATGAACAACAATAATTTCTGCACAGATAATGGCGCTTTGTACCATTTGCTGCATCTGTAAATTTTAATTTTTAAGATTAATCATAACTTACTACCGAAACGTAGCTGCACGTTTCCACGAAACTTACTAACAAGCATAAATATACGATTATACAAAAGATATTCAAAGTAAGATTAGTATCCGTATCATTATCTTAAATATTTGTCGTTGTAAAATTTTGTTAAACTGTAATGGAGATGTACTCCCAATCCTGTGTTTGGATAAACAGTTAGACGAACACTCAATTGAATAAACTGACTGATGTTGATTACTCACATAGTCGTGTAAATGCCCTCGACGGAATTTAATACGTCTTGAAATGCGTAATTTATGAAAACAATGAAAAACAACTCACACAATAAAAGTGCCAGAGACATCAATGTGTGCTCGATGTGTTCAATCGATAGTATCGACTGCGATAACTATAAGAAACGAATTTCATTCAACTACTCGATTATTTTCCGAAAGTGGATCTCTCGTCTGTTTGGAATTAAGTTTGCCTCTTTCATTCGAGGTGTCACTGAGAAGACAGATTACTCACACAGAATAAATTCATACTAAAGGATGAAATGGTGAGGACGATGACTGCAGAATATATTGGATTATATACTGTCTCTAATAAATTGGAGAACCTTTAAAAAAGAAAAAAAAGAAATGGACATTGTATCAATAAAGGAAATACGTGACTGACGTTGTAACAATTAGATTTACCAATTACATGCATATAGTAGGGTTAAAATTGTTTTTGCATGTTAAAATGTTCACGTATATATAAATATAAATATATATATACGTCCGATCTTTCTATCTCATTTTACACGTCGATACCGAGGCGAGTACAATGAATTTTTGATATATTATGCAAAATACGAACTTGATTATTCTGTTGTACATAATCACAGCGGTAATCAGAATTTCTTTGCAGCTGTCGTTCACATCTTTGGACTGAGTCACACACCATAGAACAGCTTTTTCAATACGGTAACTGTGAAATGAGATTTGTTAGTTACAGAATTTGACATAACACCCGAACATTGAAACAGATATTTTTCATTTCAAAAATTGCCCATTCGTTTGCTGTCCAAATTTAAACACGTTCAAACAATCGCATGGGTTTAGCGAAAATATCCATCTGAATAGATCAAATTGATGCAATTGTTTTCCTTTCTAATTTCTCTTACGAGTATCACATAATCACATAAAATTGGGGTAACATTTTACGGATATAATACGTGCATATTATTTATATGAAACATTCTTTCATTAACACTGCAGTGACAGACGATTGTCATAATTATATTGGTCAAGTTTGAAAGAAATTTAAAAAATATATGCATAAATTACAAGGACACACATATTTCGCACAGATCACAAAAATATTTAAACAGTGATCCACTACACATATATATATACACAAGTTTTTTCATCTTTAATAATCGTAATATGCTTCGGATAACTTTTTTACTAAATATATTACATCAACAAATATCTATAACTTTTACAAACATTTTCACATTGGTTTCAAACTTTGTTGATGTAATTATCCTAGTTGTCCTTTGTTACAGTCTTAATGAAGTTTCGATGTAATTGAAAATTCTTTCTCACAGTAAGAGCATTAGAATATCTTTAAAAGCCACCCACGTATATAATAAGGAACATAACAAGTTTCCTTACCAAACAATTTCAACCAAACTAGTAGTGTGCTGTATCAACATGGCAGACAAGGATTCAGTAGCTACAATTATAGCAGCCGTTATTAAGTATACGATTTCCTGACATGTCATTATCAGAGATAAGTATTTCTGTTTGTCTAAGAAATATTCCAGCTGTAGTAAAGAATCATGGGATCGAGATGTGTTCAATCGTAAGAGAACGTCGACGAATTCGGGAGGAAGGCAAACCACCATCACCATTAACGTCGGTAGAAATGTCATTACTGCAATAGTATTTTGTATAATAACATTCGTCAAAGATTTTACGCACGACATTTTCTGTTCCAATCTTACGTATTATAACTTTTACATAATATTGTCCTCTGTAGGTGTATTTTTTCAGAATCAAAATCTCTCCGTCGTCGTACACTGTGTCCCAAATGTAATTTACTTCTTCCGTGATTCGTTTGATCTGGCGTGATAAACGAAGAACAAGATAAGTCACGTTTTTTCCACATTTCTTTTTTATAGAACAAAATTTTTGCCTTTCTTTGAATTTTCTTTTAATTCTCAGGCTAAGCGCGTCCTCTCATTCGAAATATTATTTATCAAATATTTTATTTATATTTTTACTCTATTTTAAATATTATTTATCTTTATAGTCGCAAAGCCTTTAAAAAGGCTTCTGTAAAACTTTATTTTCATTCTTAGCTACGCAGTATATTTTTTTGTTAATTTGTCGTAACACTGACGTTATCATATCGACGCGTGAACGTACAATGAATCGTATGTTTCCTTTCTTTAATAAATAGAACGATCGATAAAAATGTACTTATCATGTTCAAATACAATTTTTGTCAACTCACTGTTTCATTTTGATACCAATATGTGATGTATCTAGCAAACAGGGAAAGTAATACTGCCCCGTACGACATATTCCGTAGGAATACAAGTAACGTGCACTCCAAGGTAAATACAGGCTGAAACTGTAAGCAATGCGTCGAATTAACTTCGATTTATCTAACGAAACGTTTGAAAAAAAAAAAAATATTGTTCAACAATGATTTTGCACCTTCGATC